TCCCCCCCCCCACTTTATTCTTCCTTCTCGGGATTGCTTTGGCTATTCGGGGTCTTTAGTGTTTCCATATGAATTTTTGAACTATTTGTTCCAGTTCGTTGAAGAATGCTGTTGGTAATTTGATAGGGATTGCATCAAATCTGTATATTGCTTTGGGCAGGATGGCCATTTTGATGATATTAATTCTTCCTAGCCAAGAGCATGGGATGAGTTTCCATTTGTTAGCGTCCTCTTTAATTTCTCTTAAGAGTGTCTTATAGTTTTCAGGGTATAGGTCTTTCACCTTTAGACTACTTTTAAGAAAAACTTATGTTTACAAAAAATGCCTACTTTTCATAAAAACTGCACTTTATTCAAAGTGCCCCAAGAAGTCTGTGGTTAGTTTTGGCATCTTCTCTTTGACCACAGGAATGGGGGCACAGCCTCCCATTTCACGTCCCCCTGGCAAGCAAGGAGCTCAAGCTCATGTGCATCTGGGGCCCTTGCTCAGGCCCTTCTGCTGAGGGCCACCGGGTGCTGGAGGATGGGGTGCTAGTCCACCTAGCTACATACAGGCCAGCAACATTGCCCTCAGTGCCTCGGTTTCCCCCTCTGTACACGTTCCTGAGGCAGGTGTGACATTCAGAAAGCATCCAGTCTCAGGCACCTGCCCTTAATTGTTGATTCTCTTGTCCTGATTTTTCTCAGAGGATAAGATTGTGTGTTTTCAGATCCATGAGTCTATCCCGGGACCCTGATCACCTTTTGCCAATGGTACATAAGGCAATAGACTGAGAGGGTGGGCTTACCTGGCCATGAGGCTGTGTGTGCATTCTAGTAGGGCTGAGGCCATTCGAAAGAGGCGATTCTGCCTTCTGGCCACAGTGGGTAGCACCTCTGTGTCCGAGTCCAGTAGCCACCAGCACCAGTGCATGGGGGCATCCAAGTTTATGTTAACATAAAATGCCCTGTAGGCCCTCCTGCAGGCTGCACAACCTAGACCAGCTTGGGAGGTCTCACTCAGGTCTGCCTTGACTGTAACCTCCTGTCAGGTAGGTGTTCAGCTCCTGTTTCAGCCCTGCCAGTGCCCTCCCCACTCTCCAGGCCCTTCGGGGGAGCAGGGGCTTTGCCACAGTTTCTGGACAGCAGCTCTTTCCTGCTCTGTCCTCAGCCTGCATAATCCATACTCCAAACCCCTCTTCCAGAGGTCCCATTGCCCTGGAATAGACTGTTAGGACTACTAGAAAGTAGTGCTAACTGGTCTGGACTAGAAAGGTCTCCAAGGTGTGCTAAGAAAGCGGGAGTGGTTGTCTGGTGGGCTACCAAAATGGAACTCCGTGTATGCTTGATGTGCATAGAATATCCTGGAAACGAGTTGGCAGCAGCTGTCTCCTGGGAGGGAGGCGGTTTGAGGGTGCTCAGGGATGAAGGGTGCTTACTCCGCACCGTTAATTGGTTAAAACAGTTTGCCGGGCGCATGAATTACTTTTTTTCTTAAAAAGGCCCTAAAAATAGCCTGTTCACCCTGCACCCGCACCAGGAATCTATTGTTTATGGGGGCAAGTTCCAGCTTCTTTGCCTGATCCCCGAGCGGCTGCCTTGACTCACTAGGTCCCAGAGGACCGTCCTCTCTGGATGGCGTTCGCATTCTCAACTTTCCGTGCACGGCTTCGTTCCGATCCTCTCTGTTGCAGTTTTTTTTTTTTTCCGAGGACCGGCCCCGTCGGCAGTGTGGGCCTTTCATTCCCATTGTCCGTAATGGTCTTGCTCTCCATCAGGACTTTGTACTAGACGGTGGTGGTTATTTCCCCGGCTGCACTTCGGTTCTGTTATCCCGATTCAGTGGGATCAAAGCTAATGGGAGTGGGGTGGACAGTTCCTGGTGTACTTGCTGGGTGCATAATGCGCAGCACCTTCCTGTCCGGTCTTGAAGCTGTGCTCTTAGCTCGGCAGGAAAGACGGCCACGCCGGAAGCCTGAGGAGGGGTCATGATGCCCTAAGTAGATGGAGGGGCGGATCTGGGCGCCGACGGGGGGCACGTGATTGGGGCTGCGGAGACAGGCCGACTAGGCGTACACCTGCTCTCCTCCCAGCATTGCGCCGGCCTCCCTACTTGCCTGCCGGATGGGGCGTCAGTTTGGGAACCATAACACAAAGCCCGGCAGCTCTGCCCTCGCGCAGCAGGTGGGCGGTCGGCAGGAAGCTCAGTGCGCAGGCGCTGCCCTGCCCCACAGCTCCGATTGGATGCACCTGCGCACTGGGCCGGGCAGCTCGCGGGGTTTGTAGGCTCGCTTGGTTGGAGGGGTCCCTTTCGCAGCGATGACCGCCCTTCCTCAAATGGTGACCCCGCCCGGGGCCGCCTCCTCTCACCGCAGGGACCCCGTAGGCCCTGCAGTCAATGGTGACCTGCCCCCACCGTGCCCTCAGGGACTCGGCGCGCGTCCGCCAGCCGGGGGCACCGAGCTGCGCGAACGCCCCTTGCCCCAGGAGAGGGTGGCCAAGCCGCACCTGTGCGGCCGCACACCTGAGGCTACACTGCCTGCGGACGACCTGGCAATCCTGGCCAAGTGGCCGGCGTCCGAGGTGAGCCTCTCTGGGGCCCGGCCCGGGGTCGGGGCATGGCGGCCCTTCGCCAGCCGGTGCGGCTCCTCCTCGAAGATGATGAGCAGGGTGTCGCACACGCGCTTGCTGAGACGCGGCCGGTAACTGTGGCGTGACCTATGTTTCTGGGCCTGTGGGCTCCAGCTGAGGTGACAGTGGCAATGTTAGACGCCGAACATGAGCGACCAGTAGCTTTCATCGTCATGGAGCGAGCGGCCCCGGTGCGGTGTTGGGGGGGTCCTGTTTTGAGGGACGTTTGTAAGCCGCCCAAGTATGGTTTTCAGGAGGGACCCCGCAAGCCATGGGGCCCCATCCGTTTCGGTTGAGAGCAAAGGCTTGAAGCGAGTCTTGGTCCCCCATTAGATTGTGGCGCCACCGTGAGGGGGCAGTGCAAGGATGCGCGTTCCAACCCCGCTCCGGGCAGCCTTCCCAAGTGTTGCTCTCCAACCGCCTCGGGGGATTCCGTCTGCGCTTCTGGCTCGTTTGGACTCCTTTGCGACTCTAGATACTTTGGAAAACTGACTTTGTATCTTAGAATGAGGTAAACTTAGTTTTTAAATATTACAAAATACCTTCTCGTAGAAATCCAAACGCCACAGGAAAGTCGGAATTCCCG